CATAAGCTTCCCCTGTAGACAGCATAAGCACTGATGAGATTTCTCGGTTATACTCCCATTTTCCTTCTTTATGAAAAGCTTCAGCCTTTCTTTCTCCATCTGCACCACCCCCACCCCACTGCCATTGGGCTGACTTTGGGGAGGGTAATTGGCTCTCCTCTACCTCACTAATCCAGCACATTTATTCAAGTCAGATCACTGCAATATGAAGCACTGTCATTCAGTTATAGGAGAGCATGTATGTGCAGATTGAGATTATTAGACAATAATTCTAATGGAATTGACTTCTGGTATATGTTTACTAAGACTAAAGCAGTTTAGTAGCTAGGGGTTTTCATTCAAAAAATGAACACCTTTTATCATATCTGATGGAAGATTTCTTCTGGGAAGTATGGCATATTCTAAGACAGATTTCTGTAGCATACAACCATTTAACTCCCAAACAGCTGGAATTAGATAAGTTGCCATAGGACAACAGTACTTTTTTTTAACTCAGGAAGCAGGAAAGGAAGAGAGGGGCTGAAAAAAAAATGTCTTCTTTGAAAGAAAGGAATGTGGTCGAATAGCTTGTTCTTAAAGAGAAAATACCTGTACAACAAATGAGGAAAATATGGTGAATTAAAATCAGAAACTTCCCCAATTTCTCCCCCCAGCCTCCCAAATATTTTCAGGGTACCTAAATGAAAGAGAAACAGATTAAGGTGGATGGCAAGGCATATTCTGTGCTCGAAACAAGATCAATCTTTATACATAGATCCTTTTTTGGCACCGATGTAGAAAATCCAAACATGGAGATACTTAGGTCTGCAAATAACCTAATCTGCATACCAGATGGATCTAAGGGGAAAAATACAGAGACACTTTTCCACACACATATTTTTTTTAAATGTGAGCATAGAAAAACAGATGCTTTTGCTCCCAAAGGTTCTGTGGGCCTCTCTCAAGTAGTCTTGTGGAGCAATTTCTAAAATTATGAAAATGTCTAGATTAAGCATTAAATTGAAAAAGAAAGGGCCTCTTATATAGAAAACCAACTGAACATTTTCTGAATTATTTTTGACTACTCAGTGATACCCAGCCCCCAATTTCACAGATAGGTGGATGGAGGAGTCAATAAGGGAACGTCTCCCCCAAATGGGTAGACTATGATTCACTGACTTCTTTAACAAATGATTTAAAGCTCTTCTATACGCACGACTCAGTGAATTAGTATGTAAGAGCTCTTTCTTTTGCAAATGAAACTGTTAAGTTTCAGTGAATGAGGATTGTGGCATTTTTTTATTTCAGATCCTATTTATGAAGATAAAAATAAATTTCCTTAAAACAATGAATTTTATCTACATTTCACACATTTCCCCTTATTACATTTATCATATCTACCTTCCTATCAAGCCATCCATCATCTCCAACAAATCTTACAAAGGTACAGGGAATACAAAACATGGATTTGAGAACTTGGTATTTCCTCCTTAAATTTCACGGTAGACTGTAAAACAGCTTTTATGTTTGAAGTTCTGAAACTAATTCAGAAAGAGCTATTACAATTACTGTAAAAGCAAAGTTGAATACTCTCTTGGTTACCAGAGTCATTAAGTAACTGAGGGTACGATTTATGACTTGTTCATCTATAACAGATGGAAAAAATTAAGATTTAGGACTAACTGAAGAAGAACTTCTCCCATTAACCAAGTCTTTTGTGCACCATGTTACACACAACCCTCCCATCCCACCTTTACTTCTACAAACCCTGCATCAAAAATTCAAACGGAAAAGACCAAGAACAAAACATGACGCTTTTTGCAGTGAGGTCTCACTTAGCTCACATCAGTAGGCTTATTGCTATCCCAGGTAAATAAAATTTCAAGATAATTGAAGTGTACTCTCTTAAGTGTCAGGACTTTGAGCATTTCTGATGGAAAGCTCCGCTAAAATGTATTACACATATCCCTGGGTTTTTCAGCAGAAATAACTGAACTCAAGAAGCCATCCCCAGATGATTCAGGCATTCACAACGAACATCCATGATTATACTGTGCAGTAGTACAATGTTGTCTGCTTTGTTTGGGCCCCTCCTCCTTTAAGTCAGTCTGTCATTTCCTCTGTTGCTAATGTACCTCTTTATAATATCACCCCCTCCCTCCATACACACCCCTTCTAGTTTGCAGCTTTTCATTTACCGTGAAGTGGAAAACCAAGATTGGTAAGAACTGTATGTCAAATAAGAGTTTAAAAGGCACTGAAAGTATGGAAGAGGAAATAATTATGACCTTCAAGGCAGCAGATTTGTGACACCTAAAGGTTCCTATCTTTACATAACTTTCCCATCTCTTTCAGTTTAAGCTAAGTTTTGAAAGGGTGATGTTATGAGAGATCTACCTTCAAATAAGTGAATTTGTTCTGAATGGACCATCCAGGCATAGATTAAAGCAGATATACCAATAGTTTTAAGCTTTTCTGAACCTGAAAAAATGACGTCTTAGTGAATGACCCCTTCCCACAGTTATATAACCTCACATAATTACATAATGCACATCCCAAACACTTTAGTAGATGTTATTCAGTTTGATTGTGACAACACTGCTGAGATAGGAAGGGCCAGGTTCATTGTCCCACATTACAGGTAAAGAAATGGAGGCTGGAGAAAGTTGACTGATTTGCCCACAAACAGTGAGTACATGACAAGGTTGGGCTCCTGGCTTCTCGTTTATGGCTTTCCTCATCACACTAATGTTTTTCTATGGCTCCCTCTTGCCTTCTCTATGCTCAAAAAGGACATTAAGCCCTGCCTCTGGTGAGAAAGACTTACTCAATTTCCTTTGTGCGTGCTTCTTTATTTCTCTCTAAGTTCTGCCAGATGTCCTTAGGAATCTTGCTCATTTTTCTGACAGAACTCAAAACCCTCTGATTTTATTATGTTGAGGGTTGTCAGTGAATTAAAAATTCAACAAATATATGGTCCCAACTTGCCATCAAAAGTTAACAAATGTCACCAGTAAGGATGTTTCTCACAAGCAGACACTGAAGAATACATCCCAGCAGATACCTAACAGCTCATTTTGTGTCATGGCAGTGTGAGAAATCACCTCCTCAAGACATTCATTAACCTTTCATTTTCTCCATAAATAATCAGTCAGAAATGCGGTTCATATTTTAAATTAATCGAAAACAGTGCTCTCTCTCTCCCTCTCTCTCGCTCTCGCTTTCTCCCTCTCTCTCTCAGCACTTGAAGTGACTTGAAGGCTTCTAATGCCGGCATGATATTTAAACATGTGATTCCACTCCTCTGGGCCAGCTTAAACCTCATCTCCTCCAGGACGCCTTCCCTATGCACCCCAGCAGGCGTTAGACATCTCTTCTTCCTCTTCCCCAAGTACCTAGAGCAATTATTGGTATTTGACATTTGGCACATATTAAGAAACCATGTAATGCACTGTCAAGAGTATGGGTTCTAGAGGTAGAGAGACTCAGGTTCTAATTCCAGCTTTACCACTTCCTAGCTGTGTGGCTTTGGGCAAATTACTTAAACTCTCTTTAGCTAAGATTCCTCATCTGTAAAATGAAACTAACAGTACTTAATCTGTTAAATTGTTCTAGGGATTAAATGCATATAAAGTGCCTAGCACAGTGCCTGGCATATACTAGGCACTCAATTCAGGGCAGTTGTTTTATTATTATTATTATGGCCCCATATATAGTTCTGGTTTGATATGTGTGCAACATTATCTTCCAAGTTGTTTTTTAACCCTTGAGGGCTGTGTCCAATAGGAACTTATCATGAAGCGTAAACTTAATGGCCCCTTACTTGCACAGGTTCTTTCCAAGGCCTTATTCCAAATATTGTACTCTTAATTTTATATTGTTTTTCTTGAAAAGGGCTCTTAAAGTGGTTGTGTCTTTAACCTCTATGTTATCCCCCTCCTCATTTCTGCTCCTTGCATCCAGCATAGTACTTTGCACAGTCAGTACTCAATAAAATGACATTTTATAAAAACCTTTAATCAACCAGAATTTTTGTTGTATTTAGCTATATAAGGAAATATAAGTTTATGTGAGGTAGTCAAAAACTTCCAACAGCCAACCAATACATTTGGTTGGGAAATATTCAGTCCAGTTATAAATCTTGAGATAAGAAAAATGTACTTTGTAAACAATAAAGCTTGGTATTAATACAGTGTTACTCATGAAAATTATGATAAGAATGATGACCCAAGGCAGGGTTTCCCAGCCTCGGCACTACTGATATCTTTAGTTGGCTAATTCTTTGTTGTAGGGACTGTCCTATGCCTTGTGGGATGTTTAGCAGCATCCCTGGCCTCTACACACTAGATGCTAGTCACCCCTCCAAAATGTGACACTAAAAATGTCTTCAGACATTGCCAAATGTCCCCTAGGGTAAAATCCCATTCCCCACTGCCCTAAGGCATTGCATTCAGCACAAAAGATGTACAGATGGTCAGAAGTCTTTCATATTAAAGCAGAAAAAGGAAGGCAAACATTTTAGAAAAATTTTCCATAAGCAAAAGCAACCTCGATTAACCTGAAAATCCCATTAACCTCATTCCTTGAGCATTCTATTCCCTAAGCATTCCAGATGAAAAAATTGTACTGTACATTCTATTTTCTAATTTGTATGCGAAGTTCAGCCCATTTTCCATCTCAACAGCTAAGTACAGAAATCCAATTCATGGGTGGGAATCATCAGCTTGATTGCTTTTGCCATCTATTTTAAGTGACAATGATGCTACTGACCTGGAAGTTTAGAGAGCTTTTTTTTCCCCTGTTGTTGACATTTTTAACTTTGATATTAGCAATTCTTCCTGTATTCTCTGCCTCAAAATGAAATGCAATAAAAAGAAATCTGGTCCAATTAACTGTGATTTTACTGTATGCAAAAGACCTACCACTTTGTTGATCATTTAAAATTTACTCTAGCCATCCCATTGTGCAATTGAAAATGTCCTTCTTAAGTAAGCAATATTTCTTATTTCTTCTTTCTGCAGGTTGTGATCCTGGGGAAACATTCAAGAGGTTATCACTACATGCTTGCTAACCTGGTAAGAACAAGCAGAGCTTAAGTTTCCCAGGGCAATATATTCTATTTAGTTCGTGTCATCTGTAATCATCTAAAAGAGAAAAATGTGAAGTACCTAATGTGTTCTCTAAATGCTTGGAGAAATGAGTCAGTAAATACCCAAACCTGAATGCAATACTCTGTTTTCAATTCTGTTGTCTCTGTTTTAGCTGTGAAGCTTATTTTCTCTTCTCCTTTAAAAAATAGTAATTTGATATGATTCTTCACTGATTACTCTTGGATTCAATTTGGATTTGAAATGTAAACTCTTTTACCCAGGTTTGAAATGTAAAGCAAGGGACAAGGGGACACAGGAAACTGAATCTTTCCCCAATTAATCCAAGTGTATGTACATGTCACTACTGGATTTGTCTTTCCAGAAGCAGAACACTACCAAATCTTTTCAAACCAGATGCCAGAAATAGATTTGAACATGGAACATTAAGTGACCCTGCCAAAGTCTATAGCCACCTTTCTGTTCATAATAAAACACAACTTGAATAGATACCTTCAAACTTCTCATACCTTTAAAATGTGTGAGATTCTTGAAGCTAGTATTTCATTAAGCTTAGCTTATAGCTCTTCTTTCTCTAAAAGAACAGTTGGTTTAGGAATTAACAAAATGGCTTCTAAATTAGTAATATCTGTTTGGCAGAGGTTCTGAATAATACTATCTCCATGAAATGAAAGAGAAATGTTAAATTATCATTATGATACTAAGAATCTATTAAGTTAATACATAACGTGAGTTCTAACCCCAATTTTGTTTCATTAGCACAAGAGAATCATAATCATTACAGAGCTCTTAAACCAAAAGAATAGCAACAAAAGTGAAAGATTATTGTAATTATATTCTTAGATTTCTTAAATCAAAGAAAAACATTTGGTTTTAATAATGAATATTTTTCAAATGAGAAAGGAAATGTTACTTAAACCTTTCTCAGGAAATATGTACATTCAAACAATTTATAAGATGAAGATTAGAGCTACTGCTTTGAAATGTAGTGTGCATCTTCTCCAAAAGAGCACTTCAGTCCGTTTTGGGGATAAATGAATCGATTCTTAGGAGAAGTCTCGTTTCTTAATTTGTATCTGAATACATTCAGTTTGTTTTGTAGGCAACAAATAAATAAAGGATGTTTGTTGACTCATTGGAGGTTAGACTAGGACTTGTCAGGAAACCTGGAGGTCTCAGCAAGGCACCTGAGGCAGTCATTGATGTGTTTTTACCATTTCTTTCTCACCAATAGGTATTTCACTTTCCTTCTTTCCTTTCATCCTTCTTTCCTTCCATCCTTCCTTCCTCCCAGCCTCTCTCCCTCCCTTCCTTCTTTCTTCCCTCTCCCTTTTCCTTTTCCTCTACCTTATACATCCTAGGGTTCACCCATCACTGACGGTATGTGAGATGACTTTAGGTAGTGCACACACAAACTTTTTTTTGTCATAATGGTAATGTATTTATTTAATATGTATTAGGAAAATATAAAATGAGCACATCAAAATCCAAATTTTATGGCTATTATTACTTTATACAGGGCTAAAGTAGAGACTTAACAACAAATTAAATAATTTTTTAAGGTGTCAAATACGTCAAGTGAACAATAGCATGAGGGATAAATGGATAAAACAAAATCTGTCTTTTGTATATGCCGTTGTGGTGGCACATGGACAACTGAAGTTTGGGAAAGAGCATTGACCTGGGGGTCGGAAAGTTTGGGTTGTCATACTGACTTTGCTATTAGCTAGCTATGGGACCTTGGGTAAGTCACTTCACCTCTGTGGACCTCAAGTTCCTTACTGTAAAACTCGGATGGGAATGGGGAGTTCATTGATGTATTGATTGGGTCCTTGGGAAGCAGATGATAAGATATAACCAGAAGTGCAAGATATTTATTGGGAGTAATACCCATGAAAGATAAAAGGGAGAGGAGCACACGTAGGAAGGGAGAGCTTCAGACCACAATTCAGGTCTGATGTCGGTGAAGGAAGGGGAAAGGAAGGAATTTTGATAAGAAGAGCTTCAGCCTGTGGTATAGCTCTGAGAAAGTCTTGGCCAGCACAACTGGGAGCTCTGGTGGAAAGTCTGCACATAGAGGAACCCCATGCTGCCCCAAAAGGTGAGCCACTGTACCCCTGCCTTGCTCAGTCATTGGCTGGCAGCTGGCCAGGAAGCACACACCTCCAGCTTGAAAGCTGAGGCAGACACTGAAGGCACCTGAAGCTGGAGGTTGTCAGCTAACTCAACTCCTTCAGACCAGTTCTGTCTTAAAGGGAGATCTCAGCAATGCACATCAATGGCTGTCTCAGTTGGCCTAAGATGACCAGATGATCTAAAAGACCTTTCCAATTCTAGAATTCTAACTTGGCCTCACTAATCCTACTGACAATCCTTTAGATGAGCTTTGGTTTCAACTTTGAGACCCAGACCTCACTGAAATGAGAGCCTGTGGAGTAATAGAACTGCAAGAGAGAATCACTAGGACAAGGTTAGGGAAAAGAATGGTAAACTGAATGCCTAATACAGAACTCAAAATTATGAGATCTTGGGAGGCTTCCTACTACAAGAACAAGCAAAGTCTGTTCCTTCAGAAAGAATGTAATATACAGCATCACGTCAACATGAACTCATCCACCATGCTTTGAGCTACCACTCCTTCTCTTCCTCTAGTGACCTTCTTTTCATTTGAACTCAGCCATGTTTGTTCCTAAGTCCCTGTACTCTATATCAAATTGCATATGTTCAACAGAAATAGGAAATGTTGCCAATCTCTGATAAAAATAATGAGACAGATTATCCCTATAATGGTTTCCAGATTTTTTAATCAGATAAAAATACCACAAACACCTCCACCAAAGATACAAACACACATACGCACACAGCAAACCAAAACTATTTAGAAGTCATTCAGATGGTCAAAAAAGGGCAAGTGGAGCTAAGATGTTTCCTTTCAAGATGAGCCATCTGACCTTTCAAGGTGAGCCAGCTGGGTGAAAACTGAGGACATATACACAGGGGAACAAAGTCTAATCTGAATCTTGGCGTAACAACAGCCCAGAACCACTGCCTTCTTCTACAAATGCAAAGTCAAAAACAGTCACACTGCTTACCCAAGCCTTCTGGAATCACCTGCACCAGAGCCCCAAGTGTCTCCTTTGCTACTGAGCTCCATCTATCTGGCAAAGACTTCTGTGTAGTTTTATATGGATCTTCCCTGGTAGCAATCCCGAAGTAAGAAGACTTGGATAGCTCATGAATGCTTCAACAAAGGCCTTTCACAGGTCAGGATGTACATTTCAGAGTGAATAATAAGCCACAGAAAATTCTAAATTATGGAAATCCCTGGAAGAAATAAAAGATTCCATCAGGAGCACAGGCAAGGGATGTGATCTGGTCAGGCCAGAAGTGGACATCCCAAAAGAGTAAGTAAGCCTCTTACAAATTCTGTATCGGTTGGTGATGTCATTGCTTTTGAGGGGTTGTTCCATAATTAATTGTTGTTTTCTCTTCCAGGACTCTCTCTAAGGTGGTAATGTTTCTCTACTCAAGTTCCATACGTAACCAGCATTTATACAATTTATCAGTCAAGCAACCTTTCTTTCATGGTGAGGTCCTGGATCAGGATCCTTTACATTGCATTCCCAGACAATGTATTGTGATTTAATTTTTTCATATATGTCAGTAATAGTGTACAGAACTCTAGACTAACCATAGGCATAATGAAAAAAGCACCAGACCAGGAGCTAAGAGACAGGTTTGTATCCCAAGAATTCTTCTAACTAGCCTTGTGACAAACCAAACCACTCTGAACCTGTTTCTTAATGCAAAATGGAGAGTTAGACCAGATTGCTATTTCCCAAAGTGTGCTATTTGTACACGAGATGATTTTAGGTAACACGTGGCAAAACTTCTTCTTAAACTGATTAGTTTTGAATTTATATTAAATGTGTATTAGAAAAAGATAACAATCCCATCAATTCCGTGATTTTACAGATACCATTCCTTAGAATGAGGCTAAAGTAGATAGGTTAAAAAAATTGAGTCAATGTAAAGAAAAATATTAGGTAAATTATAGTTCAGATCATCCATCTATGTGGCAAAAAATTATAAAGGTGATTATTAATGACTAAAATTTGGAAAACACTCCAAGGTCACTTTCAGCTCTACATTTCTTCCCTTGTGGAAGATCAGTTTGGACCAAAGAAGGCTAGGAGTGAGAGTATAGGCACAGCAGCTGGGTAAACACTGAGGACATAAATGGGGGATCCCTGTTATCCTTTAAGATATCATCATAAGGCAGACTGAAGCCTTAAAATCAGTCCTGGTGGGCAAAAGCCAAGAGAGGTGTGAGGACCCCTAACTAAGTTCTAAACAGAGCTGAGGATCTGAAGAATCAATCAAAACACTCTAGCAGCTGACACAAAACGAATTGGATCTGGGTTAAGATGGTCCAACAACAGATGTTCAGTACCCAGTCCCCAAAATAAGACCAAAAAAACCCAACCTCAAGCATTTGAGGTACTCACAGGAGAACATGAGCCCTAATAGGACTCATTCAGTGCTGCATCAGTTAATCACTACCTTAGAAGACCCAACAGTTTCCCTCCCTAAGTTGAGATTGATCCCAGAGTTGGGGACAGTTGTTGACCTTGCAGGTGGAAGTTTGGTAATGTCAGCTGCCAGCGGTAGAGGGCCACAGGAGCAAGCAAAGCAGGCCATTGTGCTAGGGAGAAAAGGGGAAGGAAGCTAAGGTATCTTAGATTCCTTCCTGCTGTGCTAGCTGTTCTGTTTAGACTTCTCATTTAATAGTCTCAGAACTCTTATGAGGAGAGATTTCTTCCCCACCCACCTCCTCAAGCTTTTTAGAGATCAGGAAATGGGCTCAGAAAAGATATGTTACTTGCCCAAAGTCTCGTAGCTAATCCCCTGCCAAACAAGGATTCCAATTCAGGTTGGTCAGACTCTTGATAGAGCACCATGCTCTT